TGAGCATGTGTGTGTTTTATTTAGAGTTTGTAGTGAAGCGCTGGCTTACTTCATCAGTCTTACCTCAGAGAGCCACCGGGAAGCCTGGACAAGTCTCCTGCTGCTGCTCCTCACCCGGACACTCAGACTGCCTGATGACAAAGTAATAACATGCATAAACAAACACACCCTCTCACTGAACCAGAACATTGGATACAGGGATCAAAATGAACTTTTTAACCTCGCGTGCCAACAAATATTTTTTACCAGCAATGTTTTTTTCTCAATTTTTTATTAAAATAATAATACTTTAAATATACTTTTATTTAAATAAATGATTCCGCTATTTTTCCTTGAAAATTTGTTACACAACTTTTTTTCTGTGAATTTTCTGTAAAAAGCAATCCAAACACTATTATCGCCATGTTTTCTTGCCCATCATCCACCATGTTTGTTTACTCTAAAGCAGGGGTCTCCAACTAGGGCTGAGTATCGTTAAAAAAATGTCAATATGATACCTTAACTTCGATACCTGTTCCTGAACGATACTTTTTTCGATACCAATTTTTTTTAATCCGTTTTAAGTTTAACAAGATTACATTACATATTACCTAAAAACCGCAAGAGATCAACCTAAGCAAACAGTTTTGTGAATATTTGCAATATTTTAATATTGTGTTTCTACATACTCGGACTGATCTACGGAGCACCAAAACAGTCTTGTAGCCAATCAGCAATAGGGGGTGTTTACACTCATGATGGGGGAGGAGAGAGAGTGAGCAAGCGGGACTGTAGAAAGAGAGAAAGCTTAGATATGATCAAAGAGGAAAAGGTCAGAGGTAGGGCTGGGCGATTAAAACGATAATGATAATTATCATGATATAATTTTCCTCGAGAAAATAACAAAAGTTCGATATAATGGTTATGCACCAAAAGCAGAACGTAACTGCGCTACTTATCCGCTCGGCTCAAATGGCAGCGCAGCGCGAGCAAACTAGACATCCAGTGGGATGCGCTTGAATTCAGCCTTATGCATTGTTTTTCATACAAATACCATAGAAAATTTAATATTATTAATATCGCAGCCTGCACTGCTAACTGTGCTGAAGATACATGCCATATAAATCAGGCAACACAAACCTGTTTCATGATTTGAAACAATATCATCTATTCGAACATGCAGAAACTGAGAAATTCATTTTGCTATTAAGATATTTATTTTATTAAGGAAAATGTTTTGAATGTTCTACCTCAGATTGGTAAAATGTTCACCTGTTTGGGAAGTGTTTGTCATGTTCTGACTGTAAAGAGTAAAGATAATTTTTATTTTTAGGGAACTATCCCTTTAAATCTCTTATCTTAGTTCAACTCATGTCACTAATTAGAAGGTTAAAAATAGTACACATTTTATCTTTCATGTTCAGTAGACATCCGGTTGGGTTTGGCCTTGATCTTGATCTTGGTTTTATATTGTTAAATATTGACATGTCCCATCTAAGAATGAGAAAAAACAGACTGTAAAAATAGTGCCCTTATTAACCATACAGGTGGGCTGATAATTAACCCAATAGGTGTTATTTCCTGTAGGAAAAGACAATGTGTTGGATATCTCTCTTATCCTTCAAGAGGTCTGAGTTAAGGCTTTTATTACAGGAAACACCCCGCTGAAATGTCAGCTTGTCAGTGTGATGACCTTTATATGTAAAAGAGACCTGTGCCATTACGCAGTCAGACCACTGGCAGCCCTGGGGATCTTCCCTGTTCATAACTAAAATATACTTTTCCATTCATCACTGTTGATAACATCAGGCATTCTCAGTGGCGTTCCACTCCATACTGACAGACACTCCAAAAAGGTCTTTAGGGAAACCCCTAAACGAAAAGACTTAATACATTTTAAAATAAAATGGCTCGAAGCATCTTTCCATGAACGTCTAACGCTCTCATTTCTCCCTCAGTTCAAGCCTCATGCCTCCTGCTACTACCACCATCTGTGTGAGATGATGCAGTTCGACCTCATTCCGGAGCTCCGTGCTGCTTTGCGGCGATTTTTCCTCCGCATCGGTTCCGTCTTCCACATCGCCGCTCCTGAATTGGGCCGAGCGCAGCCTTCGTCGTCATAAAGTAGATCAGAACTGGGAACACAGCTCTGAGATGAACTGGGGAAAAAGCGGGGCTGTAGAGTGAATGTATAGTCCGAGCGTATAAGCCTCTCCTGTGATTTGAAGGACTGTACAGGAACACAGAACTGACTGTCCAATACTTTCCTCTACCAGTCCTGACTCATCAGCCGTCGGTCGCTCCCCTATGAGTGAACAGCAAGGGTGCCGCTTGTGCTGTGTCATCCGTCTGTGTTGTTAGTGTCATGAGTCATATTTGTTTATTTTTATTTTGACTTTTTTTTTCTGGATGACTGCGACAATAATTTATTACCAGTACTGCTGTATATCTGGTTTCTGATCGTCTGTTGATTTCATTTAGTTGGCTTTTGTCCTATCTGTTAATTTTTTGTCTTTTAAAGGCTGAACAAATCTAGACATCTCAAAAACATAAAAAAAATTAGATCTACCCCTGTTATTAAGAGCTTGTAAGTGACACCCAGTGTGCAATGGGCTTGTGCCAGTAAGCAGTGATATATTTGTTTACCGATTGGTCCAAAAATGGCCATTCTCATTGTCCTTTATTGATTCATCATACAATTATACAATAATTTCTGAACCAAATTCATTCAAGCAACCCCACAGAGGTTTTTGCATTTAAAATGCTTTTAGTTTGGGGTAAAAGACTTACATTTGGCTTTGGTGTGTTCACACTAAAACCCAAATTGTCCTAAGAATGTAATGGTTGCTTTCAAAGCATTTGGTGGTTATTTCACATGTGTCGGTAATTACGCTTGTTAATCCAGACCAGGCAGACACTACCATTCTACAGGCCACACACCATGCTCATTTAGTTTCCAGTTTATTTTTTTGAGAGGTTTAATTCTGCATTCGCATTTTTGTTTGTTCATATTTATCATTTAAATCTTAAGACATCTAAAGAATATTATTTTAGTGCACTAAAGTTGCTTAATTGATCATTTTTTTAATCTTTAATTTTTGTGAGTGCTGTTCGCTCTTGATTCGGAGTCAGACTGAATCGGCAAGTTTACGCGATGGACGCCAGTCACTGATGTCATTATTAAAAAATGAGTGAAGTGGGAGAAATACAGGAATACAAATGTACTGTATAATCCAGGTATATCTTCATTAAACCCAAGCAGCATATGGCTTAGTAGTGTATTGCCAGTGTAGATTCAAATCCCAATTCATTTTCATTAAGGATGTATTTCATTCTTGAAGTGCATTTAAATATTTTCTGAAAAGCATTCCTTCCCTTGCAACTATGGATGTCTACTTTGCCTCCCTTGAGACTGGGAAATATAAATACATAGTATATGAATAAATACAGTGTAAAGTTTTCATGTAAAATATACAGAATAATGTTCAACTCTATACATATTGTGATGTAATCTTTAAAGCATTTGGTGAAGTAATCAATAAAGTTTGAGTTCTGAACCATTGGATATTCTCCTACATTTTTATTCTTCTATATTAAGGTTTTCACTGAGGGGTCTGTCAAGATGTAAAACAGTTTAAAAAAAACATTTACAGCTTTATATCTCGGCAAAAAACAACATTTCCAATAAAGGATGACTGATCGTAGTAAAGAGAATATTTGTACTCATTTGAATACGCCACATGATGTCGCTGTAACAGTTAGAGGCATAACGAGCGTTTTGGGGTAACAAAGGTTACCATAGTAATTCTACCACTCTTTGTTTAGTGAGCGCGAGCCTTATAACATTTACGTTCACAACGCAGATAAGTATGTATATCAAAATACATGTAGTTAGATTAAGAAGATTATTAGGGTAGACATTATTTTAGTAATTTATGTGTAAAAGTTCGTTAAGATTTAGTCTTCAGTATTTAGTAGCAGTTACGCTGAATGGCGCGTCTCAACATTTTGAAACCTGAAAAGAGTGTTGCTTTTTGAATGATGTTTAGCTTTAATTAACGGACTTTGGAGTGAGTGAGTAAAATAGTTACTCCATAAACCAGCATAGGCAGTCCACATAAGATGTAGCTGCTGTAATAAATGAATAGGCCCTTGGTTTAAAGAGCAGAGCTGTAAAGGGGCGGAACTGAACTGAGCGCTGCTGCTGACAGCGGCTCTCTTCTACACCGACTGCACTCTGATCGAGGAGAAACACGCCGACATCGATCATGCGGGAAATCACGAATTTGCCTTTCCAAGTATCCGAGTAAGTACCAAAGGTCTGTGATGTGTTTTGAAATTGGAGCTTTATCTTTATAGCAGCTTCCCAAATGATTCCGTGTTTCCCTGTACAGCCTGTCCATCTTCCATGACGCTAGCTACACGGCTAAGTTAACTAGCCGAAGGGAGGAAAGATTGACGTAGTTCGCTTTTATTTGACAGGAAATGCTCACTTGGCCAGCAAGAACCTACACCAAATTGGGCTTGATATTAATTTGCTCTCTTGCTAGTGTTTTTGTGATTTTAATGCGTTCAGAAATGCAGTACATGTATTGCATTCATTCGTAAATAAAACATGAAGGGGTGTTTAATTTTAAAGTCATTTATGCAAGTTGTTTGACCGATAAAATGTAGAAATTATGAAAATCTACATCCAGCGTTTCCCCTCAGCATAGACAGTGCGAGGTTCGGAAAGCTCTCGCGCTCTGCCTTTGATCGGCGGCAATGTTTGGCTAATCATTCTCTGGATTTTGTCCTTTTATGTGCGTGTTCTCGTGCTGGAGTGATTCGGAGCGATCACTTCTCTGAAAGTGATACGTGTTGCGGTTGCTTGCCCAACAGAACTGACTGGTTGTTTCCGCTCGGCCTCTGCATGCAATGGGCCCTAGAATGGACGGAGGCTTATTATTACGTAATGGCTGGTAGGCAGCGCGAGCGTCATGCATAGGTGATCATATCCTATCACAGAGAGGGGAGGTCTGCTTTTAAAGAGAAATATCCAGCACTTGCTCATTTTTTCCTCACATACTGTATTACTTTTGATCTACCGCAGTTTGATATTGTTGCTTAAATTAATCCATAGCTAACATTTACACAGACTCTCAAGAGTTGTTTGCTTGGTTGGCTTAATCTACGAGAACAGTAAGCAGATTGTGTTATGGATGGTAAGCTGAATGCTCTTTTACTCTGTGTTGTCAGTATCGTAAACATTGTCAATAAGCACGATAACGTAAGATAAAGTAGAAAATGCTAACGTTAGACTTTGTTTCTGTTAATTTCTAACTAGGCTAGTTGGTCGATACAAACTTTGGTTCAGTAAATGCAGATCTGTAGTATATTATCCAATACTGTATTAGACTATTCTGTTTTATATATGTTATGTCTTGAGATTACTCGTATAAAACACTGAATAGCTTTGTGTTCATCAAGGAGGCAATCATACACGCTTGCGTTTGCGCGTGTGCTGTATGTAGGAATGTGTTTTTGACAATGCGTTTGTAAACACTGCGTGTAGCCTTATTATTAGAATCTAATGAATTGACTCCTGGAAGTGTCCGCTGATCAATCCAGAGACAATAAGTGCTATAACATCACTGAATATACATAATATTAGACGTATGTAATATAAACGTGCAACAAAGGCTGTGGTTCTTAGATAATGACAGTGTGCGTCACATTTGTACTGAGAATGAGTAATTTCTTGTTAAGTACCAAAAGATGCGAATTAATATAATGTGTATATGTATACACATTGTATATGTATAATTTTCCCGCGACAGACCGAGCTTTTGAAACGGCCATGTGTTGTGCTCGGAGCCTCGTTGTTGTCAGCACGTGTTTGACTGATCCAGTGTTTCCTGAGAACTCTCGCGCTCTTCCCAACCAGCGATCAGATAATGCAGCGCGTGAACACCCCGCGCTCCTTATGTAGTCAAAAATACCAAATCACCAGAAATTAGTAACTTAATCTGTTTATTTAATAATATAGTTTTTTAATCTCTTTTCTCGTTAGATCTCTGTCTGTCTATCTACAGCATGCATCCATCCATATTTGTAGGCTCAAAATGAGTGATCATATTGATCAGAAATTATCTTTGTAAAAGACTGATGTATAGATTTGATCTATAATACATTTATGTAATAAAATGAACACATTCATTTGAGTCTATTCTATCAAATACATTAAGGAGTAAATAGGTTAGACATGAGTTGTCAGAACATTTTTTAAAAGGAGTCCCTAATGAAAAATGCCATGAATCACTTGGGTATCTTTTGTCTGTGACTCTTGGCTGGTTCTTCTGGCACCACAATTACGATCCATTATAGATTTGTTCAAATGAGGGAATCATAATTCTAGCCACGCTGGCTGTTCGTGCCCCCTGCTGTTTAAAATTCACTCATGTCAAGGTCAGTGTACATTTAGCCTTGTCTTGGACAAGGAGAGAGGGGAAATTGTCCATGTTTTTCATAGGAGGCAGGTGATGAGGCGCTACCATCTGTTCCTTTGATCAAGCTTCTCCATTTAGTAAGAGGGTTTTAGAGGGTGGAAAAAAGCTGTTTATCTTCAATGCCCCTTAACCTCTTCCAAAGTTTCACCCTTACCCCCTCCTCTTGCTGTTTGTGAAAATGATTGCGTATTTACGGATCAATTCATTGCACTGTTGTCTTACAACAGGGTATGAGCCATTGCACCATCCCTGAGCGTCGGCAGAAGCCTGAGAAGGACGCAAGGGTGTGCACTGTGTTCTAAGAACAAGCAAGTGGATATCCAGACATCGAAGAACGACAAGCAACGACGTGAATCATGTCTTACTATAACCGAGAACTGGTGGTATTTTTTATTAAATATAAACTCTCGCAGAGGAACTACCCCTGCAACCACATTGGACTTACAGAAGACACAAATCATACTGATGGGGCCGAAGAGAATGGTGAGGGGGCGGCAGGGACGACGACCCTTGTTAACGGCTCCATGAACAGAACCCCACCACGATCCCCCACTTCATCCCCACAGCATCAGACAAACGGGACTGGGGGTCTGGACGCGGTGAAGGAGGCGCTCCGCGATTCTGCCAACGAGTTTGAGCTGCGTTATTCCCGAGCGTTCAACGACCTCTCCTCACAGCTCCACATCACACCCGCCACAGCATACCAGAGCTTCGAGAGTGTGATGGATGAGGTGTTCCGCGACGGCGTCAACTGGGGCCGCATCGTGGGACTGTTTGCCTTCGGAGGGGCTCTGTGCGTCGAGTGCGTGGAGAAGGAGATGAGCCCACTAGTGGGACGCATTGCAGAATGGATGACCGTCTACCTGGACAACCACATTCAGCCCTGGATCCAGAGCCAAGGAGGATGGGTTAGTGGAAAATTACTTGTATTTCTCTCCTACATTGTTAGCTTTCTTCAGTTTAATCACAAACAGCCTTTGTTAACCTGTTTAGGTTTATGATTGGTCTCAAATGATTTATGCCTCAACTTATCCTGTTTGATCAGAAGGTATCTGTTAATTGGATTTAAACCTCCCTTGGCCAACCTTGATGTAAAAAAAAGTCTCTTTAACGAACTCAACTTTACACCCAAAAATGAAGATTCTGTCCAAACGCAACACAACACATCTTCGCAACACAACACAAATTAAAATATTTTCAATGTAACCAAGATTTATGTCCCTCTGCTTAAAGTCCAGGTAACTAAAACTTCTTTAGTTACTTAAACTAACTAAAGCTCCAAAAAGGTCATAAATGCATCATAAAATGAATCCATATCATGAATAAAGCACCATAAATAAAAGACATACGATTAATATTTAGGTATCACTTCAAGACTTCTGTAGCCATTTGTGATTCAAATACTTTGTGAAGCTTTTAAAAGACTGTAATAGTCCAGGAAACGTGGATGTTATTGATGAAAGAGTGTGTTTTGCATTGCCAAATCAGCTGCTTCCCTTGGGTCCAGACGGGGGCTGTTTTTAGCGCCTGCCTTCTCTTGGGCCTGGGTGGGGATGCTCTAACTCTGCGGAGGGGAAAGGAATGGGAGATAAGATAGCAGAGCCACAACCACTGGTCAGCTGATTATTGATCTCCGTAGTCTTATTTCCCAAAAGAAACTACAGAGCGGAGCGTGTGGGAGATGAGACATATGGTTGAGAATGGAGGGGGGTGCACTGATAGGTCATTGTTTTTGTGTTGTTTTCCTTTCATATTTTGTGTCTTTTTATTGTTTTCACTTTCTCTCTCCATGTTTTTTTCTCTGTCGGTCAGCTGTCCAGTAGATGAAAGGCAGGAATGAGTAAAGTCATGTGAAAATCCTTTGTGCTGGTTCTCTTCTTTATGTATGCTGGACGAGTGGCAGGTAATGTAGAGGTCCTGGCCAAGTCAGCCTTTTCTCTTTGTGATCAGGGTTGTGATGTGATTGGGTGGGTGGGTATTGGGGTGGTGGGGGTGAGATGTGGAAGGAAGTGGATTGTAAAGGTCATTTTTAACACAGCTGGTTTATTGGATGGTGCAGAGAACAGTCTCTGACTGGCAGGTTGGTTTTGTCAATGTTGTTCATTCTACTTTAGATGCTTTTTTTTCATTTTCTAATGTGTCATTTTACAAAATCTTGTTTTGTCTGAGTTGTGCATTTTTTTTCTTCCCTTGACGTTCAGCTTTGCTATCTTGTGATGTCTTGATTGCACAAAAAAATCTGGAACTGTGTAGAAAGCAAAAGTCAACACGCCATTATCTAAATTTGTATGTTGAATCTCATCGTGATCACGGGAATGAGAACATTATGAAACACAACAAACAGTCCTTAAAGATTGAGTAATTAAAAAGAGTTTTAAACATGTTTTCTGAGCTCTGCCATTGGTCGGATAAACAGTCTTCAGTCCATTTTATCTTTTTTATTTGTACAGGTTTTTTGGTCAGTTTTTTGACAACTTCTAAAGTAACTTTGACAACTTCTGACGAATAAAATTCAGTTAATATTTCATTCAATTTTATGGACTAACAGGTCATCTAATTCTTGTCTACAAAAATAACATTTTAGTTGCCAGTGCATAAATAAACCAAATATTCAGACATTTTATTTATTCATTTAATCTCAAAATATTACAACAACATTTGAAAACATTTGTTGTTGTTAACCTAGATTTTTCTTCTTTAAAAACATTAATGCATTGTAACTATCTTGCATATTTTTCTATCAGCGCTCAGCAGTATGTATTAATTAAAATAGTTTAATTATTGTCATGATGCACATTTTTGTCTTTCCATCGTTCTCAAAATAAATGACTTTTTGTGTTATGTTAATGAGATCAATACTGCCCGGCTAGAAACTTTAAGAAGATTTTTGCATCTATGCCATTTTAGACGCCACCCTGTGGACTGTTTAGGACGAGGGAAGTGTCAGGCGATTTATTATGCTGAGTTGGAGAGTTGATTTTGAATGGCACTACAGTGGGCTAATGAATGAAGTCTTGAGGTTTCACATCCTGAGGTTTGCACCCAGCTGCAGTTTTGGTTCTTCTTGAGCAGAAATTGTAAAAGCGTTCTCTTTATGTCACTTCCTCAATGGGGAAGGAAAATGAGGTCTGCGTGTCATACAAAAGGCAGACGTGCACGTGTTACATGAATGTAGGCCGCCTTTCTGCAGACTCCCACTCAACCCTCTTCATCTCGGTTGCATTCGGCATCAATTTCAGTTCGGTTGTCTTACGGATGCTCGGTCTCAATCAGGCCAGTGTAGTTCATCTGTGTGCTGTGGCGGTGGGGGGCACGCATAAGCACACATGCACGCTCGATTTCACGGTCGAACAGGATAGTCTCTCTCTCTCTCTAGTGAGCATTTACCACACATCGAAGCGTTGCGGTGGCGGGGGTTCTCATGCTATTTATTCATCTCGGTTTCAGCTTTGTAGTGAGATTTAAAAGCAGCTGTCACGAAAACCAAAGGGTACCATCGGCGGCGTCCCATGCGGTGGGACGTCCCCTCGGTGCAGGAAGAAGCTGGGAATGCCCATTTCAAGTTTCGCTCTCACTCAAACACTTCTCACATATTCAAGATTTTTTTGTGCATGTGTTTCTCCCCTCCCACGTGCAGGCCCATTTTCAACCACCTTTTGGTCTCATTCTCTTTGCCTACGCAGAGTTTTGCAGTGTCTGGCAGCTGTATGATGCAGGTGTATGGCAGTACCCGCACGTCAGGCTGTGTTATTACTGCTCTGGTGAGATCTGCTCTTATACTGTAATAACGCCCAGAGGTGACAAAAGCCTAACCCTAACTCAAAATAATAAAAAACTTAGCTTTTATTTTTGTTTTCATTTTAAATTATAGTTAATTCAAAATATTTAATAAAACACTGCATTAGAGTCAACTCCATAAATCAAGGAATTGGATTAGTTGCATTGTATGCTATTGATTCACTAAAATGAAGCTGTTCAAAAGTCATTTGTTCTGTAATCGCACTAAATTTGTCACGCTGTCTGTTTCGTGTTATACATTCAGAAGTGTTGTTGTGGTACCTCTGAATAAATAGTGCAGGAAGAGTATTTTAGTACAGAGTTCTGTCTGCATCTGGAGAAGAATGCAATGGCAAGTCATTTGGTTCTGATATTTAAAAAAAAAAAGTTCCCTATTCTACAGAGGGACGTGGAAAGAGGATTGACTGACGTAAATGAGTCTAGTCTAGTTGCCACTAGTGGAGTCTTGTGCCTGAGGGGGTGGGGATATTACCAATTAGGCTTGAATTATATGTGAATGTGCTCAGGGTAACTGCCTTTGTTCATATAGGCTAGCCTAGTACAGGATAAATGATTTGCAGTCGATGAGATTTGAGGGCAAAATAACGATACAGCGGGGGGATCCATACCTTTTCAATCTTATTACACCTGCTTTGTTCATTATTGCTGTTTTAGTGTGTGTGTGTGTGTGTGTTGCAGTAGTCCCTCAGAAACCCTCATTAGCGTCCAGCAAAGGTTCCTTCACTATCAATCTGCACCTAACTAGAACAGTGACTTCCAAACACAACGAATCATTAATCACAAACTTCACCCACATACACACTTAGCAGTAAAGCGCTCATGCATGCTGATAAACAATGGCCCGCCTTTATCACGTTTTAATCACTGTCACCACAACAGAAGTCTTTGTGTGACGTAGGGCTGTTACCGGGAGTTTCATCAAACGTATACGCGTCCAAATACAAACATGCTCACACCGTACACACACACACCCTCGTCCCATTGTCTATCATGTTTGCACAAGGAACACCCACGGGACCACCCCTTACTCCCCATCCTCCATCACTTTTACTTTTTCTCCAGCCTCCAGCTCGTGTCCTTCCTTTCTTTCGATTCTCTGTTTCTTTCTTTCGGTCGCTCTCCCCCGCCTTTCCCTCGGTCTCACGTGGTCGGACGTGTTGCAGATCAGACATGCAACAACATGCCAGCGTCACCGCCGTTAGTGTCCCCGTTCACCCCTTTATTTGGTCTCGTTCGTTCTACGTCTATCCGTCGTCCATCCATCATCCCTCCACCTTACTGGTCATCTCTATTGATTTGGCAGGCGCAAAGACCATGCGTGTTTGTGGCACGCCTCCCGCAATCATTCGTCAAGCTTCGATACATCAGCACCACCCACTCTGCGCCTGTGTCTGTCGCATGACAGACTATACATCTGCTTTTGTACTCCCTGGTCAATTGTGTCTGAGTTTGTGATCAAACACGTCACATTTAAAATGCAATATGCATTATTGTTCCATTTCATGCATGTTTACACGCATGTGCCTCTCATTTGTGCAATTATTTGAAGGTATAGCACACGCTGAGCATGTGATTACCTTAAACAATGGAGCTGCGGGTGAACACACACACATGCACGCCTGCAGAAGCCAGGTGAGGAGCTTGGCTGTAAACACACAGTGATAACAGCAGTGGAGACGGTGATCCAGATGTGATGTTTTCCTCTATAGACACTAAGAGACATCATTTATACCGTAGTCAGTTAGTGCTTAAAGCTAATGTTTGTGGTATTTGCTGCTGTTGTCAGTGGCGCCTCATGTTGCTATCTTCAAGGTTGTAGTTCACCCCTGACCTTTTGGTTCAGAATTATGCATCACCAGCATTTGAAATGTTTTCTTTTTATATTTCACTGGGTAATTCCATTTTTGGAGTACATGCACATGCCTTTATGTGTGTGCTTGGTTTATGTGTGGCTGACTGAGTGAAAATGGCAGTAAACAGATGGTGGGATTCAGTCTGTTCTAGCAGCCTTGTCACCAGCACAAGAGAAAAAGTGGGGGGAGAGAGAATGAGAAAAGGACTTATGCTATGGTAGTGCACTCCTCTTATGTCACAGGCAGGGAGAGATGGG